ACATCTTTGCCTTACAACCGGAGAAGATATTGAATATATATATATATATATTTTTTTTTTTTTTTTTTTTTTTTTTTTAATTGTGTGTGTGGCCAGCACAGCCCACCAGGGGGTGGGGCTGGCTGGCATGTGGTGCTGGGGGATTGAACTGCAGTCCCCGTTTTTGCTAAGCTTGTTCTAAGTAGGTGCTTTAGACCACTGAGCCATCTCACCAGCCCCGAATATATATTATATAATTCTAATTCATAGGTGGCTTGAAGTATTTTGGTCTTAGTTTTAAAAGCTATATTGTAAATAAAACCTTGGTTGGTTCTGAGATATATAGCTATGCACAAGTCATTATTTACAGAAGGGTTGGAAAGTGAGGTGAAAGAGGAATAAACTAAAGCTAACATTTATTGAGAATCTATTCCTCTTAATACAATCATTCATTCCATTTAGAATGCCAGAAAAATAGCTCAGAATAATTTTATCTTTGAATATATATTGATTTTGTTACCTTTTTTCCATAGCATAGGTTATAGCCTACTTTAGGACAGAATTTAGGCAGCAAGAATAATGTGAACACTAAACCATGAAATTAAAAAAAGAAAAACCATTTCCTTATTTGTAAACAGTATAAATTTTCACAGACAAGAATGAAAGCTTGAGTATGGTGACAAAACTACATTGATAATTTTTGTAGGCAAATAATTCTGAATTAAAGTACTCAGAACTGAAATTGTAGCTTCTAGGTACATGAAGAGTTAAATCTCTGAGCTGTAGAAGCAGATTGTGTTTTCCTTTTGTGATCTGGGCTGACAAGACATCAGTATTCTATTCATCTGTTGGGAATTAGGCTGTTAATCCAATCAATGACTCTTGAGTGAGCTGTGGCCTACCTCCCCCACAAGGGAACAATCGGATCAAACTGCAGATTGTTTAAGAGCACAGTGCTGTCCTCATGTCAGGTGGAATTCTCAAACGTTCCCTGGTGAATTGGGGTAGGGAAAGCTGTCTTAGCCTATTTATCCTGCTCCTTAAATAACCAGGTATCTGCCTCATCCATACGAAAGCATTTGGCAGTAATGACAACAGGGATGCAATAGAAATCCATTAACTTTAACTCACAAAAATGTAGGTGAAAGAAAATAATGTTTTCAAACACCCCACAAAACAATATATAAAAGTTTTTCCACTTTATTCAGATTTTTTCCTACTTCTCAAACCTTAAACTGTAGATCTTGAGCCTTTCGTTGTTGTTTACTGTTTTAATCACTGAATTTTTTAAACCATTGCAATCTCTTTTTGTATGTCTCCTGGCTTGCATATATTTTCGTAAGTCAGCTGGGTACAAATAAATTTTAATATAGATTATGGGAACACTAATTAAATAAAATTTTAATTTAAAAATATCTTTCTCTGAGGAATACTAATTAAATAAAATTTTAATTTTAAAATATCTTAGTCTGAGCATACATAATTTTGACATCTTTTGCAGCCTAGCAAAATTTGATTTCTAATTACTGATTTAATAGTCCATTAAGTACATTTGGAAATTATTATTGAACTGATTAGATAGATGTTCAGAGTTACAGTTATCCTCTATAAAATGCTGTCCTAAATATTTTTCTGTTAACCAGTAAGGTGACATGAGCTCATCATACAGTAAAAGATCCAAACTAGCAAAAGAGAAATCCTCAAAGAAGATATTTATTATCCATTCTTAGTGAAGACAGCTTAAAGAATAATTTAATTATTTTCAACTATATTACATAATATCCCCAAAGGATTTCTTAAACCTGCCAACTTGATCCATTCATTCTGTAAATATTCAGTTACCACCTTTCATGTACCCAGGCATCTACTAGGAATTGGAATTACTGCAGTGAACAAGATGATGTCCATGCTTTTTTGGCACGTATGTTCTAATGAGGAAAATGTAACAAAAATAAAATTAATAGCAGATAAGTGCTAAGAAAGTGGTTGGTTACTTTGAACAGTGAACAGGTAAAACTTTACTGAGAAAGAGATAATTATGCCAACAACTTAATCAAGAGATGACATGCTAAAAATCCCTGAAACAGGAGTTTGACATGCCAGGACCAAGCTGCTTAAAATATATACATTATTCTCCAGCCCAGTGGGTTTCATATCTAACAAAGCACATATGAATATTTTTAAGAGCTGTATAAAAGTACAGCCCTAGAATTGAGCCTCCAGCCCTAGAATTTCTGACTCCATAGGCTAGAAAGAGGTGAACTCTGTATATAAAGTGCTATGAACAGTGTCAAAAATCGTGTCTTGAATGTATGTGCCTCCTGCCTGGGTTTTACAAGACACTATCATTTTTTAATAATTGTATACAAGGTTGGGAGCCAACAATGCCAAAAAGCCTAATAGAATGAATATACCATGCAGAGTGAGCAGTTAAGTAGAAGGGGAAAAAAGGAAATCAGCAACAAGAAAATAATACAATGACAGAAATAAGGTAATATCTTTTAATAATATCTGTTGATGTGAATGGTCTTGATTCTCCAATCAAAAGGCACAGACTGACAGAACTGATCAAGAAGCAAAACCCAATGATATGCTGAGTACAAGAAACACATTTCATCTAAAGAGAAACTCTTAGACTAAAACTCAAAGGATGGAAAAACACGACTCCAACAAGAACCTGAAAAAAAGCAGGAGTGGCTATCCTGCCTTCAGACAAAGCAGCCTTCAAGCCAAAACCAGTAAGACAAGGCAGAGGATCACTGCATGTTGGTTGAGGGGACAATTCAACAGGAAGAGATACTAATTATAAACATATGAACTGAACATCAGGACACCCCACTCCATGAAACAAGCACTATGCAACCTAAAAGATCAGATAAACATCAACACAAACATAGCAGGGAACCTCAGTACCCCACTGTCATAAATAAATCAACTAGACAAAAAAACCAATTGGGGCTAAGAGACCTATATTTTGAAAACTTATCTGTTCAAAACTTGTATTTCCAAGCACATAAATTTTATAGTTTTTATAATATTTTTGAAATGTCATAAAGCTAAAGTCATCCTTAAGATTTTTGAAAAGATCTTTAGAAGTCCTTACAACTACACAAAATAATATAGAACCAGAAAAATATGGTGCTGTCTTGAAAGAAGGCATTAGTAGCCCTTTTTCTTCTATTTTTGATTATAGTCTTATTAACCTGGATGCCTCATAATTTCTAATGCAATGCTGGCCACCAGTGAATTGGCCATATTTTGTATAGTGCTGTTAATTTGACCTTGCCTCAAGAAAAACTGCTTTCCAACATTGGTGATAACAGAGCCTGAGGAGCAGTTATTTTATTATTTATTTATTAGTACATACTTGCAATACATGCATTTTACAACTGTCTTGGGTAGTTGGTACAGCTTGTTTCTTTTAAAAAAAAAAAAAAAAACCCTCCCCCTTCACTACTTCCTCTAATTGTTCTTTCTCCCTTGTCATTCTTGTTGATATTATTAATCTTAGTTCACATTTGTGGATTATAATATCAACATCCATTGAAGTTATTAGGATCCTGCATATGCCATATCCTTATTCTATTTCCACATTCCCTTCTCACCCCTCATCTTTGATATTCCCTGGGGAACCCTTCCCATCTGCAAGAGATCCATCCTCTGGTCTCATTTTCTTTCTTTTTCTCTTAATTTGTACTGTGCCTTATTCCAATGAGAGATAATTTGTCATGTTCAAGATTGTATATTTGATTATTTCATGCGGCCTTGTATTTTCCAGGTGCATCTATTTTCCTTCAAACATCTCAAATTTCCCCCTTTTTTATAGCTGAGTAACATTCCATTGTATATGGATTCCCCATTTTTTTACCCAGTCAGCAGTTGATGAGTATGCAGGCTGCTTCCAGGATTTAGCTATTATAAATTATTCTGCTATAAACATTGATATGTGTATATCACTGTAATACAATGTCTTAAATTCTTTGGGGGAGATATCTAAAAGGAAGTAATTTGGTCATATGGACTTTCTAATTTTAGTTATTTGAGAAATACCTTTTTTTTTTGGCGGAACCGGGGATTGAACTCAGGTCCTTGCACTTGCCAGGCAAGTGCTTATTCCACTGCGCTATCTCCCCGGCCCCTTGAGAAATGTCTGTACTGATTTCCATAATGATTTACATTACATTCCCACTAATAGTGTAGGAGGATTCCTTTTTCACCACAGCCATTCCAGCATTTGTTGTTGGTACATTTTTATTTTTTTAATAATTGCCATTCTTTGTGGCGTAAGATGGAATCTTTGTTGCTTTAAAGGCCAGGGCTGTTGAACATTTATTTTTTCAAAAATTAAGTAAATCCTTCAGGACAGAAGCACTGGGGACCATCTGATGTCAGAACACACTCATGGCTGCAATCAGATGCGCTTCTTGGGCAGGAAACTAATGCTGACAAGGCCAAGATTCGTGTTAAGTCATGTTGGTGGAAATGTACTATAATTGGCTGCTAATAAAAAATTGAAAGAAGTTAAAGATATTCATAGAAAGCTATGGTAATAATGATATAAAAGAGAAGAAAAATTCAAATTAAAGAACATTAAAGAGCTCTGAAAAAAAATTAAGTAAATTTTTATTTAAGGAATTTCACATGTTATTCCTTCGCTCTTCATCAAGGTCACTTTAAAGGAATTCTTATCCTCAAGATAGCTTTTTTTCAGAAGAACTGATGCTTAATCTAGGCAACCTGTTTGCCCACAATGACAATTTAAAAACTCCTGGGATCTTATATCCAAATTTCATCCATCAATTTAGACTTTAGGAGCCTAGAATTGTACTTAGTATTGATATTTGGGCACAGGCTCTAGATTCTATATTATTCCTTTAATCATTTTTAATATTGAAAGTTGACTCTTTTTTTTGTTTTTTTTGTTTGTACTGTGAATCAAACTCATGGCCTCTTTCTTGCCAGGCAGGTGCTGTGCCACTAAGCTATATACCTGGCCCAACAATTTTCTTTATTCTTGAGCAAAATGTTGCAGGTCTCATTGTCACCACTGAAATATGTTTACTGTGATAGAGGCATGATCTATGTCTCAATTTTAGCCATATTGGCCAATTTTGAGCACCATCCACCAGTGCCCATTCTAATCTAGAATGAGGCTTTGCTTTTTTCCCCCATACATTTGTTGTCCATTTGTATTTCTTCCTCTGTGAAGTATCTGTTCATTTCACTTGGCCCATTTCTTGATTTGTTCTTTAATTTAATTTTATTTTTATTATAGTTTAGTTTAGTTGTTTAGTTTAGTTTGAGACAGGGTTTCTCTATTCTGTTCAGGCTAGCCTTGAACTCACTTTGTACCCCAGGTTGTCCCCAGTGATCCTCCTGCCTGAGCATCCCAAATGCTGGGATTACAGGCATGTACCACCACAACCAGCTGATTGGGTCTTTAATTTTAGGTGGTCTTTTTGAGAACTCTTTTTTGAGTTCTCTATGTATTTTAGATATTAGTCCTCTGTCTGAAGAGTAGCTAGCAAAAGATTTTCCCCTTCTATAGGTTCTCTGTGCACTCTATTAATTTCTGATATCCCATTTGTGGATTCTTGTTATTTCTTTATACAGTTGTTCTGTTTAGAAAATAATTTCCTACATCTGTGGCTTGAAGTGTTATCTGTATATCACTTATAATAATATCAATTATTATACTTACAACCAAATTGCAAGTATATACATACAGGTGCCACTGTGTTGTAAGATCTCCTACTGTGCTCTTGTTGTCCAATATTGTTTTTGCTTTCTGTATCTTTTCTGGTTCCATATGAAATTTAGGATTGTTTTCTCTAGATCTATAAAGTATAATGTTGGTATTTTGATTAGGACAGCATTGAATCTGTATAACAGTTTGGGGAGTATGGCCATTTTGGTTCTGCCTAACAGCAGAGAACAGCTTTCTTTTTTCAGATGTCTTCTTCATTCTCCTTTTTCAGAGTGCTGTAGTTTTCTTTGAAGAGGAGTTTTACTTTGTTAGGTTAATTCCTAGGTATTTCTTTTTTTTTTTTTTTTTTTTTCAGCTACTGTGAATGGTGTTATTTTCATAATTTCTTCATCTCGTTCATTATCGGTATACACAAATACTAATGATTTTTGTGTGTTGATCTTTTAGCCTTTTAGATTGCTGAATTATTAATTCATGTATCCTGCTACATTGCTGAAGGTGGTTATTGGTTCTAAGAGATTTTCAGTAGAGTTCTTTGGGTCTTCTTTGTAGAGTATTAGGTAACCTGCAGTTAATAATTTGAGTTCTTTCTTCCCTATATGTAATCAATTAGTTGTAAACACCACTGCACTCGGACAAGCTATTTCTTCCCTATATTATGTATTCCTTTTATTTCTTTCTCTTGCCTGATTGTTCCAGCTAATGTTTTAAGTACTTTTTTTTTTTTTGGTGGCCAGCTCAGCCTGCCCTGGGAGCGGGGCTGGGATGGCATGTGGTGCCAGGAATTGAACCCTGGTCCCTGCTGTTGCCTAAGTTTGCATAAGCAGGCATTTTAGACCACTGAGCTATCTTGCTGGCCCTCAAGTACTATTTTGAATAAAATAAAAGTGGCAATAGTGATCATCCTTGTCTTGTTCCTTATTTTAGGGGGAATGCTTTCTGTTTTTCCCCATTTGATATGATGCTGGCTGTTGATTTGTCATAAATAGCCTTTATCACATTCAAATATGATCCTTCAACACCTGTTTTCTTCAGTTTTTATTGTGGGTTAGATGTTGTAAAAAAACTCTTCTGCCTCTATTTATAGGATCATGTAGTTTTTGACCCTAATTCTGTTTACGCTCTGTATTACGTTTATTTACTTACATATGTTGAACCATCCTTGTATTGGAGCAGTTATCTTTATATAGTTAATGGAGAGTCCTCTTATACCCTATGTGCCTATTATGTACTAGAGGGAAAAACACTACTTCACAAGGAAATGTGGAGTGTTTTTCATTTTACATAAGTAAAATTGATGAGTGAAATGAATCCAATGGATGAATTAGTGTTTTTTCAGTTAGTGTATAGTACATTATGCCAATCATTTCAACAAGTTTTTTTTAAATGTATTTTGGTACAGGATCTCAGTCTGCAGTTTGCACTTGTAGCAGTCCTCCTATTTCAGCCTCCCCAGCACTGGAATTACAGGCGTGTGCCACCATGCCTGGTCTCAGTGGCTGGTTCAGTGTGTCCAGGGGTGGGTCCAGTGCAACATGTGGTGCTGGGATCGAATCAACAAGTTTTATGTGTGTTCTTTACATAGTTTGTTCTTATAGTGTGGTTCTCGAAAGGCAAACAGAACTCAAGGTTTGATCTGAAAGAAATCAGTTTGTTACACGTACAGATTTACAAAATGGAATTTGATCATTCTAAATTATTCTAATATAAGACATTCAATTGCATCTTTAACATTTTATATCATAGATCAAAATTTACAGTGAAGAAAATGAATGTCAGAGTTGAACCAGTCATCCAACATATGGACTAAATAGATACATGGTGTTCTGCCCAACAACAGAATACGTATTCGTCTCGGCAGTATTTTCTCCAAAATGGACCACATACTAGTCTAAAAACTATACTTAAGTAAATGCAAAAGAATCAAAATGTTATGGTTTGGGGGTTTTGCAAGGTGAACAATATAATACAGAACATATTTTGTAATAGTGTTTTATAATGGATCAGCCAAGAATAACATACTACAAATACAGGAAATCTGTCCACTCACTAAATACTAAAGAATCCAGCTGAGAGCCTAGAGCTCATAGCAATGCCCCCCACCAGTCTAACTGGAGGCCTACAGCCCATAACAAAGTCTCATGGAGGCTCACTTCACAGATATGTGCTAGAAAGGCCCAAAGGTCAGTGGTGGAAGCTAGGAAGTCTATGCCAGTAGGATGAAGGGTCTGTGGTAGCAAGCTGAGGGATCTGAACTGAAGCTAGAAAGCAACAGTGAAGCTAAGCACCAGAGCTCCCCCAAAAGTACCACAACCATCCTCAGTAACAGTGAAGTCCCAAGCTCCTCCAGCAATGAGGAAAGCCAAGTTCTTTTCAGAAAAACCAATGCCACAAGCTTCATGAGGCTGAGCAGTACACCATCTTTCCCTCCAGAGCCAGGAATCAATGCTCATGATGAGGACCCAAGCTTCTCCAAAGTTCATTGAGAAAGCTAACATGACAAGGTCCTCCAGAAGAATAGCCCAAGAGAACTAACAGCTTCTAAGAGCTCCAACAGTTTCTTGGAACAATATGCCGTATAGTGTTTCAGCAGCTTTTCCTGTTCTGCCTTCATGCTGCTGGCAACAACCCTCAGGTGGGTCTCCCGGACCCAGCACCATGCTTGTTAAATTCAGCTGGGTGTAGCAAGTTGACAACCAGTTACCTATCCACCACAACCCAACCCTGCTGAACTTGATACACATTTCTTAAATTAGTCTTTGCTGGGCTGGTGAGATGGCTCAGTGGTCTAAAGCACCTACTTAGAACAAGCTTAGTAAAGCACAGGGACCGCGGTTCAATTCCCCAGCACCACATGCCAGCCAGTCCTGCCCCCTGGTGGGCTGAGCTGGCCACACACACACACAAATAAGTAAATAAATTAAAAAAAAAAAATTTAAAATAAATTAGTCTTTGCTGGCAGATTTGTGAAAAGTTAATATATCTTGATCTAGTTAGATTTACATTAATACTACAATTACATACATACAATTTTTTTGCACTCATTCCTGCACTAAAAATAAAATTTTAAAGGATGATCAAAGGGCCAGGGAGATAGCTCAGTAGGATAAGCACTTGCCTGGCAAGCACAAGGGCCTGAGTTCAATCCTTGGTTCTGCCAAAAAAAAAAAAAAAGGTAATCAAAATTTAAGGTTAAAACACAATACTTTGATTAATTAACCTAATTACAAACATATATAAAGATGATATTAAAAGAATTATTACAATAACAGTCCCTATTTCCCATTAATTTTTCCAAAGTATAGCAAGACTAAAAACAGGGATCTCCTGCAATTTAAATACACTCATCTTCAGATGGAAAGCTTTAGTTCTTTTTTACATTGTTCTGTTCTTAATAATAACGTTGTCCTTTATTTCATCCTTGGTCAAAAGGTCTATTAGAGTCACTCCTCTGACCAAATGTTTACTATCACCCGATTGATTCTTCGTTCTTAATTTCAAACATAGATCTGGCCAAAAGCTCTCAACAGTAATGATATCACCTTCTCAATAGTAGACTGCATTGAAATTTTTCTTAATCCACCCTGGCAATGTCTCCAAATAGAAAGAAAAATGGAGACCAAATTTTTGCCAAAGCACAATTTACTACCTGGGTCCAGCACACAATGCAGTTCTTAATCGAAGCCTCCAGAGCTTCATCTGAAGTGGCAGCATTTCCATCTGTACTCTGATTTTCCAGGCTACAGTCAGAGTCTCCAATATTTACAGCATCCAACGGCCATCTCTTTGTCCAGTCTCTCAAAACATTTCCAAATTAATGACAATTTTTTAAGTCATGTGGCCAGGAACTATCACAGTAGTAACCCCACTCCTGGTACCAAATTCTGTCTCAGTTGCTACACTTGTCTTGTTGCTAGGACCAAATACCCAACACACAATATGAAGGAAGGAAAGGTTTATTTAGCTCACAGGTACTGGAGGTTTCAGTCTACTCAGCTGGCTCCAAGGCAGAGTGGCACAGGACAGAGAGCATCCTTTCATGGCAGCTGCTAAGAGTAAGAGAGTAAAATGGAACAGTAGCAGTAACAATGGTAACAGAGAGAGCAAGCCTGTCTCTCTGTGTCTCTTATATTACACTCAGGCTATCCACCTCAGGGTGGGTGTAGCACTCACATCCATAATCCCAGTCTTGGATCTTCCATAATCCCAGTGGATTGTGAGTTAATCACAAACTCTAGAAGTCCACCCCATGACTGCATGAACCTTTTTTTTTTTTTTTGGGGGGGGGGGGGCGGGGGGAACGGACACCTAGAGACAAACCATGACAATCTTGTATAATGTCAAATCTTAATTCAATAAGACTAGAAATCAGTGGCAAAGGAAGCCACAGGAACTATAAAAACACATGGAAGTTAACAAATATTTCCTTGGATAATCATTGGGTCACA